CCGACGGCAACTCGAAGGAGGGGAAAATCGGAGAGGGAAGTACCTTTCCTGAACGGACTGAAGAGGGAAAGGGGAGGGTCCAGTGGAGTTTAACAGATCGCGACTTCAGGGGCGCTGCTCCGATCTGGACGAACGGATGAAACAACAACAAGGGCAGAAGATGAACGAAGAAAGTAGCAATTGGGAGGATCCGGTGGTGACTGATCGACGACACCAGTCAAAAAATGGAAGCAGCAGGTGGCTGCTGTCGCCGACCGCGGTGGCGAGGGGTGGAAGCAGACTCCTCGTCGTTTCCCCCTTTTTCTGATCCGACAGCAGATAATGCAAAGGGAGGAAGAGTGGCAGTCGATCGCCGGCGAGGTTCTCCTGGTTCACTAGTCCTGTAGTCGACAGCAACTCGAAGGAGGGGAAAATCGGAGAGGGAAGTACCTCTCCTGAACGGACTGAAGAGGGAAAGGGGAGGGGTCGGTGGAGTTTAGCAGATCGCGACTTCAGGGGTGCAGCTCCGATCGGGACGAACGGATGAAACAACGACGAGGGCAGAAGATGAACGAAGAAAGTAGCAATCGGGAGGATCCGGTGGTGACTGATCGGTGACACCGGTCAAAAAATGGAAGCAGCAGGTGGCTGCTGTCGCCGACCGCGGTGGCGAGGGGTGGAAGCAGACTCCTCGTCGTTTCCCCCTTTTTTCTGATCCGACAAAAGATAATGCGAAGGGAGGAAGAGTGGCAGTCAATCGCCAGCGAGGTTCTCCTGGTTCACTAGTCCTGTCGCCGTCAGCAACTCGAAGGATGGGCAAATCGGAGAGGGAAGTACCTTTCCTGAACGGACTGAAGAGGGAAAGGGGAGGGGTCCGGTGGAGTTTAGCAGATCGCGACGTCAGGGGTGCTGCTCCGATCGGGACGAACGGATGAAACAAGGACGAGGGCAGAAGATGAACGAAGAAAGTAGCAATCGGGAGGATCCGGTGGTGACTGATCGACGACACCGATCAAAAAATGGAAGCAGCAGGTGGCTGTTGTCGCCGACCGTGGTGGCAAGGGGTGGAAGCAGAATCCTCGTCGTTTCCCCCTTTTTTCTGATCCGACAGCAGATAATGCGAAGGGAGGAAGAGTGGCAGTCGATCACCGGCGAGCTTCTCCTGGTTCACTAGTCTTGTCGCCGACGGCAACTCGAAGGAGGGGAAAATCGGAGAGGGAAGTACCTTTCCTGAACGGACTAAAGAGGGAAAGGGGAGGGGTCCGGTGGAGTTTAGCAGATTGCGACTTCAGGGGTGCTGCTCCGATCGGGACGAACGGATGAAACAACGACGAGGGCAAAAGATGAACGAAGAAAGTAGCAATCGGGAGGATCCGGTGGTGACTGATCGACGACACCATTCAAAAAATGGAAGCAGCAGGTGGCTGCTGTCGCCGACCATGGTGGCGAGGGGTGGAAGCAGACTCCTCGTCATTTCCCCCTTTTTTCTGATCCGACAGCAGATAATGCGAAGGGAGGAAGAGTGGCAATCGATCGCCGTCGAGCTTCTCCCGGTTCACTAGTCCTGTCGCCAAAAGCAACTCGAAGGAGGGGAAAATCGGAAAGGGAAGTACCTTTCCTGAACGGACTGAAGAGGGAAAGGGGAGGGGCCCGGTGGAGTTTAGCAGATCGCGACTTCAGAGGTGAAGAAATTTACATTTAAGCCCATCCAAAGATGAAAGGACAAAAATGCCCCTGATGTGGGGGATGCTAACAACTAAACAAACGGAGAAGTTAATAGAGGGACTGGGCGGGTAACAAATTAAAGTTTCAGGGACGGTCCAAGTTAAAAAATCTTTCTAGGGACCAAGCGTGCAAGTAACCCATAACCACAGGGACCATCTGTGTAATTTTCTCTATATTATTCTAATTTTAGTTCAAATTAGTTGAAGATATCACTTTAGATTATGTGTTGTAGGGTCTAGATCGATCGTATGTATTTGTTTCGGCTATAAATGAGTTTAATTTGATAGAAATTGAATGAATAAATTTTGGTATAAAATGATATAATTAAACTTGGATGATGAGGTTTTATTTTAGATTGAAAGTGGATAACTAATGTAGGTCTTTACAAAATTATTTGACGTTATTTGGGACAAAATCGGGGTTGTAGTTTTTATACAAATGGTAGAAAATAAATTGAATTTTTGGGTTAAGAAGAAGCAGAGTTGGGTTTATTTTAGGTGGGTCTACAGAGGATTGGTCTGTTTAAGAAAATAAATATGTAAGATTAATAACTAAGAGTGCGGTCAAATGACGTGTTCGGTTAAACTAACTGCTAGCGGGTAGTGAGTAGCGAGTACTAGGTAGCCGGTAGCGTTTTGTTATATGGTACGTAAGATAGCTGGTAAATTTAAAGCGTTTTGTTTAAATTAAATGGTAAAAGCCTATAGTGTCAAACGAGATTTTTTGTTCAAACTGAAACATTTTGCTAAACGTTAAAAACTAAAAACCCTCAAACACTCTGTACCAAACACGTCCAAAACTCTGGTCCCTAAAAGTTTGGTGTCTCAAGTTCGACCCTTATGACTTTCTTTTTGAGAATCAAAAATCCAATAGTTACCAAAAGGGCCCATATAGTTTAAATAACTTGTCACTTTTCTAAATTAAAGTATTAAATTTTGGCCCATATAGTTTAAACAACTTGTCACTTTTCTAAATCAAAGTATTAAACCAACGTTTGTGAATTGAAACCATTGTTGCATATTTACCCTACAGTTTGAAAATTTGTTGTTTAGTTTTATAAAATATATGTCAACATTTGTGCTTTAGCCCTGAAATTTTGGTAATTAAATATTTCTTGCCAATTTAATTAATAAATAACTGATGGATTATTTCCTTTGAAAAGTATACACTTTAATATACTTTTAGCGTGATAATTACAAAAATATTGGTTGGCCGAACGAAACATACATGTAGTTGAATTAAACGCTACAAACACATAGAATATTTTTTCCGGAATGTAACCTTAGAAAACTTGTTCGTGGAATGTAGAGTGCGGTTAGCAACAAAGCTTCAGTTAAGGATTATCGGTTGTAAGGTGAGTTTTCTGTGTGATGCGATGTAATACCTGTTGGGTTTTATGTCAAAAATAGTTTCATAAACTAGAAAAATATGGCAACGGAAGACTTTAATTTTTGAAACAACATAAACATTTTATACCCACCAATGATCTTCTTGCAAATTATAGAAAAATTTAAACACCAACCAAATAAGAGGTAAAGAAATAACAACCTTTGTAGTTCTTTGGATCTTCTTGGGAGGCTTGGAAATTGATGAAGAATGTGGAACCTTTGAGACACCAACAGTGACTCAACTTGATGTAGATGCTAGTCCAAAACTCTTAAACCCTTAAGCTTTAAGTTCATAACCAATATGAACTTAAAGAGGGCATGAAGATGCAAGTGTTCTTCAAGTTTTTTTTAACCAAAACTAGAGAGAAAGGGAGAGGGAAGAGAGGATTCAGATTTTGCATCAAGGAATGAATGAATGAACTAGCCTAATGCAAGCCCCTTATTTATATGCATAAAGTGAAAGCATTAACCATTAGGTCTTAACACTTTAAGCACATATGTCCCCATGTCATAAACATGTCTCCCATGTTTCTTATTACTTTTGAATAAACTAATGAAAAGCTCATAACTCTTTTTCTTTATTTAATTTTCAGAAATTATTATATAAAAAAGAAGAGTTAGTTTAAATTTTATAAACTCAAGTTTTATAAAATATAAACTTTGTCTTTCGAGTAAAAGACAAAAGGGTTTCAACT